TACAGAGCTGGGTGCTCCAAGCCCTACTAGAAACAAACTCCCATAAACGGGTACATGAGCCCAAGTCCTACTAGAAACAAGTTCCCATAAACGAGTACGTGGGCCCAAGAAACAAGCTCCCATAAATGGGTACGTGGGCCCAAGTCCTACTAGAAACAGACTTCCATAAACGGGTACGTGGAGAAAAACGGGTACGTTATCGCACGGTACCACATAGAACCGACTCTGATACCATGTAAGAAACGAGGGGAAAACGACTACTAGAAACAGGCCCCCATAAACGGGTACATTAGCCCAAGTCCTACTAGAAACAGACTCCCATAAACGAGTACGTGGGCCCAAGTCCTACTAAAAACAGGCTCCCATAAACGGGTACGTCATCGCACGGTCCCACATAGAACCAGTTCTGATACCATGTAAGAAACGGGGGGAAAACGGTCACCACAACAGGAAAAACCCAGATGAAGCCTAAGTGGGGTTCCATCCCAAAACCAATTGGTGGTAGGAGGAGTAGCACATTAGACTTATAATGTGAGTCTATTTTCCATGTATAAACGATGTGAGACAACTCAGAAGTCAGAAGTGATATTATGTTAACACTTTTCATGAAACATAATAATTTTTGTATATTGTGTTATAAACTATAATTAATTTATGATATATTTTTATTTGAATAAAAATTACTAAATACTAATATTAGTAGATTATGTAACTTCAACATTTTATCTATCAAATGAGTAAATACGAAAGATTTGAAGGGATATAAGAACAAGTTTATTATTGTTAACCAAAAAATATTGAAATCACAAATATGGTAAGTCGATTTTGTAAATTATGTTTGAAAAAATTTTAAAGATTTACACAAGAGAGGGAAAATGTAGATTTTGATAAGTAAAATTTATTATTAATGATATATTTATATTTGACAAAAAATTAATAAAACACCATTATTAGTAAATTATGGAAACTTCATTATTTTGACCTAGAAAGTGAGTAATTACGGAAAAATTTGAGTATGGTAAAAATTATTAAAATATATTATTCTATATTTACCATATTATATTATTTATGTTAACTTTTTATTTAAAAAATTTACTATACAAATGTGAGAAAATTTCCATAAGCTTATTTATATAGAACTTTATGTTCAGTAATCCCCTCTATAGATTAATTCTAACCGTGCTGAGCCTAAGTGGCAGACTCACACACTTTGGAATCATACGTGTCAAATTATTATGCTTCATATTTAGGTTCGGATAAAAAAATTGAAAACATAATCGGCTCGGAATCAACCATAAATAATTATTTCATCTTACATTACTGCATCCTATAAATATCTCTTTCATTACCATAAATTTATTATCTCTCATAAATTTGTGTATTAACTCTATCATATTATTATGTGAGTATATTCTAAGATAATTCCATAATTTTGGCATTCTGTAATTTTAAATGAATTTTGAAGTAATTCATACATGTATTACTTTTCTATATTTTATATCATTCAAAATGCATTTTATATCATTCTCTATTAGCATAAATTTAATTCATATAATAGAGTACATATTTATATTGAATAAAGTAGTTTTAAATGAGTTTTTAAATTACTTATTAATATTAATTCGTAAAAATATAATTATTAAAACTAACTGAACTACAAAATAGTTATCTGATATAAATTAAAAAATTATATAATATAAGATAGAAAGTTGTGTAAGTGACATTATCAAATTTGAATATAATAATAATATATTTTTCAAAACAGTATTTAAAAAATAAAATAATTTTTGTTATTATTATTTAATTTTAAATAAAAAAATTTTAACAAGTACCCATGTAGTATTGTACTAGTAAGTCTAGTATATAGATTAATGCATAATAATTAACATATTCAAGAGATAACTAACTAGCTTTTACTGATTTACGTACAGGGCATTAATTCTTGGTGATCTTTGGGCAAACCCAAGTTTTCATTAAAATTTAAAACATATGTTCCAATCAATTACCAATTTTATTCGAGAACTTATGTAAACTGTAAAGTGATCGTTTAATTTGTGTGTTTCTCACTGTATTCAGCTTTTATTACAACTTAAAT